GGAAGTCAAATTCCTTTCAGCATAGCTCTTTCTGCAGCCGGGAAGTTTTGTTTATGTCTGGGCCTCTGGAGGAGGGTATAAGATTGCATCATCTATGCTATATTTATTCTGCTGGAGGTGGCGAGGTTCATGGTTAGGTAGAGCCTTTAATGGCCCTAATCTTATATCCCCTCTCCCTGCAGCTTTAAACTTTTTATGTAAAGATAGGAGAGTTTTTAGCACACTTTTCATAATAGCTCTGAACATTTGTGAAATACAGTCGAAGCAATAACTAATTTTTTTAATTCAAGTGTCATTTTGTGATAATTCCGGACCCAATATAGAGAAGGTTATTCTAAATGGAGGGATAAGTCGAGAAGTTCGGACAGTGGTATGAGTAAAACGGTTTTGTGTGTTGTGTGTGTTTTAACTTCTGGGAGAAAATGATAAACTAGTATTACTCACCTATTTTTTGGCATCCTTTCTCCAAGTGTAATATGGTCAGATTTGAAGTAAGTTTCTTGTAGAGTCTAATAAAATCATGGCAGTGTTTAAATTCCATGAACTGTGGTATAGCCTTCAAAATGCCAGAATTATAAAAACAGAGACCAGGTCTTGCTTCTGCACCATAAGTCTGTGCAGCAGGTATGTTAAAAGGTAAATGTTTAGTCTGTAGGAGTTTTCATGGTACTTAAGCAATTGGTGCTGTCCATCTTTCACTAGCTTATTGAAAGAAAGCAAAAGGAACTTTTATTAAACTTGTCCTCCTCCTGCCACCACTCCCTGCTGCCCTACCCCCAAGAAGCGTAGCTCATGCTCTCCCTCTCTTCCTTCCATCCCTGCAAAGTTTTTTGTTTTATTTTTATTTTCTCCCCTTTGGCCCAAGAAACTCCAAAGTCTACCTCACAGATTTTCTTTCCATCTCCTCGCAAATTTTTACAAGGCAGATGAAAGGCAAATAAAAGCTTTTCCTTGGATTTAACTGTTTGCTTTGTGCACCCCAGTCGCTCCACATTTTCTTCAAAGTGAAGGGGCCTGTAACCTGACCCGCATCAGCTGATGACTCATCCCTTTTCTCCTACTTAACTTGCTCCCAAGTCATCTTCACTTAGTCCATGGGCCCTTCTAACAAAAGCAAAGTTACTTTTAGTCGAAAGAACTTTTATTCACCCCTTCCTATCAACTCTTTAGGATGGAGGGTTAAGGCAACCAAAAACTCGAAAGTTTCAACTCAGTGACAGTTGAAGGATAGTCTGTGATAGTTAAGATCAAAACAGAAGGAAATAAGTTGTTTGAAATTTGTAGCTAGTGATGACTCCATGTTTGTGTAACTCTTCAAAAGTTGCTCTGGCGGAATTTTGAAATTTTTTTGCTTTATAGAGTAGGTATATTAGAAAAACAATTTTCAGTAGAATACTAAACTTTGCCTTTATGTACCTCTACTGCCTACAGCTGTCCCAAAATTATCTCAAAAGTCTCCTTTCCCAGCAGGGAGATGTTGAATTAGGAAATAAAGACAATTATTGGAAGTTACAGCGAGTCAGCTCTTTCATTATATTTGGGTCCCAGGTGTTTCTCTCAGCTCTCCATCTGAAGCGAGGCCACATCAAGGCTTGAACATCTCACTTGTTTTCCACACCTAGAGTGTGTTTATGGCCAACCCCTCATCTCCCTGCCTTCTTACAGGTGACGGTCCTGGCTTTGATGACGGTTGAGCTCTTTGGCATGATGGGCCTCATCGGAATCAAGCTCAGCGCGGTGCCTGTGGTCATCCTGATTGCGTCCGTCGGCATAGGAGTGGAGTTTACCGTTCACGTTGCTCTGGTATAGAAGATGTTGCCAACTATAACTGTGACAAAGCAGCACATTTCCTCTCGCTCTCTTAGTCTCCAAGTTGGGAACCTTTTCATTTTCTCCATCATCAAGAACACGCCCAGTACACAAACCATGCAAAGTTTTCAGACTGGCACAGACATTCCCTAGGAGTGGCTAGAATTTGCCTGGACTCCTTTCCCTCTTAGGGAATCTAAGGAGAAGGGCATCAAAACAAAGGTGAATTTTTACCGGGCCAGGTCATCAATAGGCACACATCAGTGTGTTGAGTGAGCCAGGAAGGATTCTGTTTATTTGGTGTTGTCATTAGTGTCATCACAGGTCCTCAAGTTGTCGACTGTGTTCCCAAGATAGATGGTGTGTGTGTAAGTACGTGCACGTGTGTTTTGGGGTGTGTGTATGTGCACACACAAAAAATCACAGTAATAAAGTGGGGATAAAATGAGACCACACGCACGAGCTTACTGGGGATGGTATAATCGAGAGTGCAGCTAGTTGGCAGCTGAGGAGCTACCTTGGGGCTGGTGAGCAAAGGTGCAGGTGCTGAGTGTGGAGGAGCTGCTCTCCCAACTGAGCCCTCCCAGCTTCTTCACCCTTCCATCCTCCAAGTATGAGAATTAATGTTGCTCTCAACAGGAATTTATTTCCTCTATCGTCCTGTGCCCAGTCCTTGTGAATGCTTTGTTGGAGGAAATTAAACTTCAAAAGGAGTCTTAAATCCAAGAGACAAGCCCATTGTCTATATTTATCAGAGAATTATTCAGAAGCCTCATAGCAGTGTATAAATTGTGTACCATCTGCACTTGTGCTTATAGCCTAAGTCTTTGACAGAATAAAAAAAAAATACCGCTGTTTGGGAATGCCTCAGCTAGGAAACCGAACCTTGGACTTGGATCTAATTACTTTTAGCCTTGCTTTAGCAATCTCTAGCTTTGATTTTCTTTGGACTCAACTTATGGCACCTGCATGTCTATATATATGCCTCTGCCTTATACCTCCCATAGTCCTTCCACAGGAGTCTTTCAGGGTCATTTTTATGCAACTTAGAGATTATACACTTTTGTGTTTCAGAATGAATGTTTTGTTGAAGTTGACCCATTTTTCTCCCAGTGTATAACAAAAAACTGATAATACAGAAATAGCATTCTCTAAATATCGAGCCTTCCCAAGTGACTTTTCTCCATTGACCTGGGAGGAGGGAAAAGGATTTTTTTTTTCTTTTTTGAAAAGAAGAGCCCAATAGCCTAGAGCTCAGAAACACATTCTAATCTCATTTTTTCAAAAAAGGAAGAAACACTGCATATGAGTTAAGCCTCCATTTTATTCTGATACGAATGAAATTTTGGTAGCTTGCTTTGCAAAACATGGACAGATCTGTCCTAGAATAGATTTTTACAAGGTAAATGCACACTACAGTCTAAGCTGCAGCGGCACTCCAAGTCTCTGCCTGTGAGCTGGTATGAACATGAAAACACACACCAGAGTGGAATAAACGATTAAGGAATACCTCTACTGCTCATACAAGATTTAATTCCTAGAATTTAAGGAGTCTCAAGAGCCAGTTTGGTTTTGTGAGCAACAACCCCTACTCAGTGTTTTAAGTTCCAGTCTTTATCAGGAGACTATCCATCTTCAGGACATGGTATTCTTACCCTAGCCCGTGTTTGAAAATCTTAAAGTGGGCAGTTATTGCTCTTACAAGATTTGTAAAATGATGGAATAAGGTTGTTGAAGAGGATGCATTCCATGAATGGTCTTCAGAAAATTGAGGGATTCCTGTTGGTTCACTGTTTTGATAACATAAACTGAGTGTGAAAGGATAAATCAACTTGACCCTGACGTCATCATGGCCCAAGTACGCACAAAGTAACATGGTTCTAGACATCTCGGTGCTTTCCTCCCAAGAGAGAAAGGCAACTAGATTGACCCTAAAATCTTCCAACTTTGAAAGAGCACATGGATATGTAGAACCCACCTGAGAGAAAAGTATGAAGTCATAGTACACCTCGATATACTTTTGTTTCTTGGTCCATTAAGGAAAATAACCTTCCTGTCCTTTTACAGGGTGCATCAGGGATGGAATGCTCCCTGCAGTGTGTTGTGGGCCTGGGTTTTTAAGAAGCTCCTAGCTCTCTCTTCTCAGCATATCCCAGAGCAACCTGAAGTTTCAGGCAGAGAGAGATCTTGTGTCAGGCCCACCTCTCCCTGCTGGGTTCCCACTATAAGACCAGACAGGGTGTAACCCACATTAAATCAGTCCTGGGTCACACTCAAGCCAACAGTCTGATACACCGGGACTTACTGGTAAAACAGCGTTCTTGACCTAGGAGAGCTGTGGGGAACACAGAGGAGGCAGGGACGTGTTCACATGTGATCAGAGCATGCTCGCTTTGAATTTATAGTCCTTTCTTTCTCTTACGATATCCCCCTGGTGCTTAGATGCACTATAAATACATTCATTTGAACACAGCAACAGAAATTCTACGCTCAGTATAATCATGAGGAAATATGTATTTAGCACCTTGTTTTATATGACACTGAGCTAATAAGTCCATTCAGAACAAAGACCTTGACCATCCAAAAAATCAGGCAAGATATTGTCACTTTCGTAACTGGAGATATCTCCCATGTGAATGATGTAAGAGAACTTGAGTGGAGGAGAAAACTCAGGGGTGAGTAGCAGTGAAAAGGGAACATTTTGCTCATTTTTTAATAGTTTTGGTTTGGTTTTTAATTACAGGTAAATATGCTTTTCATCCTTTTTTGCTCTTCAAGATTTATATCAACACCAAACATGATCCAATATCACGAACAGGTCATTTTAGAATAAGCCTAGATTTAGCTAGTTGAATAAACCCACTAAACAGGAAGATCTAAGCATTTCTGTAGAGGCAGATTAAAGCACTTTATAGAGTTTAACCTATTTCCCATTTGCCCTAAAAATATCACCGGCGGCACTTGCAGCCGTAGCATTTACCCTGAGATAACTCACAGATTACATACAGTCCTAACCTTACCCCCAAAGGTTGCCACAAAATATCTCACTTCTTTTTATTATTTTTGAATCGCTCTAGTGTATCAATAGTCTGTAGGAACAAATGATACCATTCTATTTATAGCATTTTGTTTTTAATAGTGGTATTTTCAGTTACAAAATAGAATAACTCTGTTGCTGAAAATGGTAAATCCTAGAAAATGTAGCATTCCTATGTGTGATGTTAAATGAATGCTGGCAGCAAGCTGCACTGTTTTTTTTTTCTAAATGGGAAAGGGGTTAAGACAGCGTTGACCAAGTCAAGTCCAGGACTGTGACCATTTGAACTCTTCCCTTTTGCACAGGCCTTTCTCACAGCCATTGGCGATAAGAACCGCAGGGCCGTGCTTGCCCTGGAGCACATGTTTGCACCTGTTCTGGATGGGGCTGTTTCTACTCTGCTGGGAGTGCTGATGCTGGCAGGATCAGAATTTGATTTCATTGTCAGGTAAGCAGGGATAGGAGAGAAGACTTGTTTTAAAAATCATCATTTGCTCACGTGACTTCTGTTGCTTATTTCCTTCTGTTTCTGGTAGATTGTAGCATGTCTTCACTGTGACGCACCCCCCACACACACACACACACCGGCTTTATTGAGGTATAATTTATAACTGACAAATATAAATCATATACTTAAGGTATACAACATGATGTTTTGATTACCACTATCTGTGATGCCACTTTCTTTTGACTTTATTAACTCAAAGATGAGCCAAGAGGTATAAAGGTAAGCTCTCCTCTAAGGCCATCTTGAGAAAAGATGGAGGATTTGGGGATAGCAGCAAAGGCCGAAGGATTGCCTAATATTCCATTTTTTGGTATTCCAGGTTAGAAATATCTACAGAAAGATGACTGTGGTTCCCATTAATTGACAGTCTCACCTTCACTTCTTTCAAAACTGTAGGAAGGAAAACTTACAAACACCTAAAATTGTCACCTGGATTTTACTCTTTTTTAAGACGTGAACATAATGTGCCCAGATTTCAGATTCAAGTTCCCACTAAATTTTAGGGTGCATTTAATATGTGACTTTGGTGTCAAATTTTGGAAATCCAAGCCTAGTTTGGATACGTTTGGCTCTAAAGACAAGCAGTTTCTGGTGAATTTAATGAAGACTGTGACTTGAAGTATAAAAAGGGAGCAACTTTTCCTTTTGAAAATAGTTTGAGAATAGCAGGGCCAGATCATTTTCTTCTCTGAACAGCATTGAGAAGCAGCTGCTCCTGGATGCAACACTGCTGCTCTGTGGAGGGGCGGGGCCAGAGTCAATAAGTAAAGCTGAACCAAATGTGAGAAATGCCTGGGTTGTTAGCGGTGCTTCAGCAATCTGGTGAGAGAACCTAAACAGGCTTTCCAGGTGTGTGTGTCTGTGATAGGCCTTTGGTTTTCAATAAAAAGAAGAGGGTTTTCAGTTTTAGCCAGTTTATAATGGGAAAAACATCATTCCCCTGGTGTGTGGCATACCCCTTTGGGCAGTTCAGCATTGCGGAGCTTAGCCTTCCTAGAAAGACTGTCAGAGTTTGCCTCCGCTCACGTTCCTTTTGGTGTAAGGCGAGTGAAGAGGTGAGATATCTATTACAGTATAGACCACACTTCCCAGACTGTAATGTGCTTATGAGTCATCTGAGGCTCTCCATAAATGCAGATCAGATTTCGTAGGGGATGGGAGGGTGAGTAGCAGACTCTGCAGTTGTAGTCAGCTCCCAGGTGATGCCCATGCTGCTGATTTCAGCATACACTGTTAATCAGTTAACAGGCCAATCAGTACATTCTTATTTTTCAATACCAGATATATGCCTAAACTAGATCAAGGTTTTGGTGTCAGTTTTAAGTTCTTAATTTGATTTTTCCTTTATTTCCTTAGTGTACATTTTTTTCGGGCATTAGCAGTTGTTTTTTTATGCTATAAAGCCATGTGTCAAAAGAGTTTCTTTTATATAATTTTCCACTCAACACAATGTGACGAGCATGTCATAAGTGCCATTTCACACAACAAGTAACATGGACCCTGTCCCCATCCATGTAACTTACAGGAGAGACAAGTTCACAGGCAATTCAAAACCATGGGAATCTCAGGGTGTGTTGGGATCTCAGAGAATCTAACTCAGCCGTGGTGGATGCCAAGTGAGCCATGCAGAGGAAACTTAGCCTGAATCTGAACACCCATTAGATGAGACCTTGAATGGCAGGCAGAATCCCAGCTCTCTCATCTAACCTACGGCTTCTTGTTCTCTCCCAGAGATATCAGGATTCTTGTTTCAAGCACTTAAAAGGGCTTCCCATTTTCTAGAACTGGATGGATTAACCTGATAAAGCCCTCACTGGGGTCCGGCTAGATGAGCAGACATTGTGTACACTAAGCGTCAGAAATCTAATTGGTCTGTTTATTCTACAGTTAGATGGATGGGATGCAAATGTCTTAATGCCTGCTGCTGACATATGCCTCTGCCTAAAGTTCTAGCAGTTTACATTAGAGTAAGACATTGGCTGCTTGGTTTTTACTAATGCAGCTCAGAAGTTTCTAGTGTTTACAATAGCTGCGAGGTATTTGTATTTTTATAGGGATTCTCTCTCCTTTCATCTAATGTTCAAACATATATAGATGTGGCAAAGTTTGGTGCCTGTTCTGTTTTATGATCAAGAGGACTATTAACAGATATCTTGCCTTCCCTCTTCTCAGAACATCCTAAGCTCCCTTCCCCCGCAGCCCATTTCCAGCAAAATTGCCCTAGAAATCATTAGTTACAGAAACACATAGTTGCATGGAGCCCACCCCCTCCCCCTGTGTGGTGTGTCCGCCAGTGTCTGTCCCTGGCTAACAGGTTTACCTTGGTATTCATGAACGATCCCAGACCTTAGCCCTCAGTGGTGGGAAAGCAGGGCCACTTGTGCACGCTCCTCTTCTTCATGGTGCTGTGGCCTTTATGTTTGAATTGGCTGACGCAGAACAAGAGTATTCAGAGATGCTAAATTGTTCAACAAAAGATTGGCCGCAGAGCAGCCCCATCACTGTGGACCGCCCTCCCCCGCAAATGCCCCAGCAACCACAGAAATGGGCAGGGTTTTCTTTACAGAAAGCTGGTTCCTGTGTTCTAAAAAGGTTTCAGTTGGAGCTGTTTGGTTAAACTGGAACTCACAGAATTCTAGACAGAAAGTTGTGATTAATGAAAGCCCAGGGAAAGCCTTACCTGATACGCTGGAGACTTAATTAGAGATTCTGCTCTAAGATGCAGAAGCATTTCACAGTGGATTAGCTGCCTTGCACAAGTGGGCTGCTTTTCCTCCTGGGCTAAATTGTTTAAATTCTACACCCTTCACTTCATTTGTTTGCTTCTGCTGGGTTTTCATGGACGGGGGCCCCTCTGCATTGTATTTGTGCTTTCAGTCCGCTCAGCCATTCAGTTTGCATTCCATATTTTTGTGTTTGAGTAACACATTCATAAATAACATTACATACCATGAGAATTCAGCAAATTAACAAACTAATTTTTTTTCCTTCTTTCGTGAACTGACACTTTGGTTTGTAGAATGCAGCCCTCTAAATCATAAGGTTAAAAAAAAAAATCTAGTGCTGAATTTGAACCGTAATTTTATAACAGCCTTTTCACCTGTATGGGTTTTGCTAATTTTTGGCTTATGATGTGCTGCAATATTTGGGCACGTGAAGGGTAGCTTAGTTGATCTTTGCCACAGTGAATGTTCCTGTTTCTCTTTTATCTTCAAGGTATTTCTTTGCTGTCCTGGCAATCCTAACAATCCTGGGTGTTCTCAATGGGCTGGTTTTGCTTCCAGTCCTTTTGTCCTTCTTCGGACCGTATCCTGAGGTCAGTAATTATGCTGGGCGTAGTGTGCAGTCAACAGGCCACCTGAATGCCTTTTTTCCTGTCACTCTTAATTTAGATATTTAGGTATATCCACATTACCAATGACTTGCTTTTTTAGTAAACATCTCAAAAACCATGGCCTTTTTTCTCTTCAGTGTAATAGTTTTGGGGATATAGTACTGGTTTTGTTATGTTTTTATTTTGTTTTAAACCAAGTGGTTGACAGCCTGAGTCTTGTACATCTAGATCAATGAAGTATTTTCCACTCAAGATAAATCTGGGCTTGAAGAAGAGTAAAAAGGGTCCTGCCTGCCTTTCCAGTATGAGAGAGCAGAGGGCCATTCTTTTGCTGCAGCTGTCAGACCTTTGGGTCCTCCAAGGTGGCAGAAAGGGGGAGGGGAATACAGAGTAGTAGAGGAGGCTGGAGCGGAGGGGCAGAGGCCCCTGAACAATACTGTTCTTTGAACTTTGAGTGTGGCTAACAGTAGATGAATGATGGCACCTTTAATGTGGAATTCTCTTAAACAGGTATCTCCAGCAAACGGGATGAACCGGCTGCCCACTCCTTCCCCAGAGCCGCCCCCCAGTGTGGTCCGCTTTGCCGTGCCCCCTTGTCATGCGAACAACGGGTCCGATTCCTCTGACTCGGAGTACAGTTCTCAAACGACCGTTTCAGGCATCAGTGAGGAGCTTCGGCAGTATGAGGCCCAGCAGGGCGCCGGGGGCCCTGCCCACCACGTGATCGTGGAAGCCACAGAAAACCCCGTCTTTGCCCGCTCCACCGTAAGTCACCCTCAGGGGCAGCCCCTGCCTGCTCTGAGTAGCAGATCAGACAGGATGCAAAAACAAAGTAGAGGTTAGGTGGAAACATATGAAATTGTCAATATTTGACTCTTCTAAAGTGTAAAAATGTCAGTTTCATATAGTTGGATCTTACACGGATCAAAAAGGGCAGAGGCCAGTAACAGCAACGGTAAGTGCATGGAGCAGCAGCATATATCTTGTTCAAGCTAAGTACAGTTTGAGCTGGAGGGCCAGAGACAAAGCAGGCTTGGCCTTTTTTATTTTTTTAAGTTGCATATTATCATTTTAGAATGATACTTTTGAAAAATATAATGATCTTTATTGCCAGCAGAAGTGATATATTTTTTCTCTCACTTCTGTTGACCTTGGTACAAAATTATTTCAGTTATCATTGCCTAAGACTTTACTAGAAGCTTTTGTGACTCTAAGTGCATATTCTAGGTGGCTGGGGACAAGCACAGCAGCTTAGCCTTTGGTAATTTCAGGAAATCTGTGTGTGACCTGGGAGCCCTTCTCAGAGGCTCCGAGAGCCCAGCCACGCGTGTCATTCACTCTGTGCTTCCCAGGTTGTCCCCGGTCCCCAGTCCTGAGAAGCACAGCGCAAAACCCACGGAAGGTTCTGAGGCTCATATTTCTCCAACCCTCCAACCGAGAGCCTCCTGCTGTCCCTCCAGGAAATGGGGATTCCAGTCCCAGGCCAGAGCAGGCCTTCCATGAAAGCGAGAGGGGCCAACCAAATAACCTAAATTTTCCTCCTCTTACCCCCCGGGGCGATGCCTGCTGAGCTGCAGTGTGAATCTGGTTTTGTTCAGCGGGAGCCTAAAAATAGGTACAAGCTGAACGACTTTGAAGTTGGTCACGGTCCTTTTGATTGATGTGGCCACTGTGTTGCTCCATGCTTTGTATAGAGACCCAGAAACCAGATTCCTAACAACCAGACAGAGCAGTGCTGTTCGATAGAACTTTATGTGACAATGCAAACGCGCTCTGTGCTCTTCAGTACAGTAGCCACTGGCCACATGTGGCTGTTGAGCACGCCGAAATGTGGCTAGGATTCTAGATAATTTAAATGGAAATAGCTATAGGTCCCTAACCGTTACCTTATTCAACAGAGTGTAGGTATGGACAGTTCTGCCGACGTCCGGCATTTGTGCATGCGAGGGCCAACGGCTCGGCGCTTTTAGAAGAGGAGCTCAGCATGCTGCTGAGCAGGCTGGGGTGGCCGACTGGGAGGGAGGCCGCGCACATGCTCTCTGTCCACAGCTCCGCATGTGTGGGTAGCAGTTGTATGTGTCCAGCCAGCCGTGCTGGAGAAAGCCTGGATGTAGGAGTTGGAAAGCCTGGCGTAGGTGCTCCTCCGCCACATCATGAGGTTCTAAGCAAATGGATCCTCTCGCTCTGCTGTATGTGTCCAGCCAGCTGTGCTGGAGAAAGCCTGGCGTAGGTGCTCCTCCGCCACATCGTGAGGTTCTAAGCAAATGGATCCTCTCGCTCTCTCGGGGGACGGCGGGCGGGCAGGTTGGTGGTGTGTGTGTATGTAAGACCCCCATGGGCTGCCCCCCCAGGCCTCTCCAGACATTTGTGAGGTTGACTGAGCACTTGGTTGAGAAGAGCTGTGCATATGTGTGTGTGGGTGGCCAGGCAGGAGCCAGAGCCAAGAAGGGAGGGCTGAGAACACCGGGGGTGATGCCTGGCCTGGGGTTAGCGCCTGGCCTGCTTTAACCTGCCTTCACCCTCTGTAGGTGGTCCATCCTGAAGCAAGACATCACCCGCCTTCGAACCCTCGACAACAGCCCCACCCGGACTCTGGGCCCCTGCCACCTGGACGGCCAGGCCAGCAGCCCCGGAGAGAACCTCTCAGAGAAGGCTTGCGACCACCTCCCTACAGACCGCGCAGAGACGCTTTTGAAATTTCTACTGAAGGGCATTCTGGCCCTAGCAATAGGGACCGCATGGGCCCCCGAGGAGCTCGCTCTCACAACCCTCGGCATCCAGCGTTCACTGCCATGGGTAGCTCCATGCCCGGCTACTGCCAGCCTATCACCACCGTGACGGCCTCAGCCTCTGTAACTGTTGCTGTGCACCCCCAGCCCACCCCCGGGCCTGGGCGAAACCCCCGAGGGGGCCTGTGCCCGGGCTACGAGGACTACCCCGAGATGGACCCTGGGCTTTTCGAGGACCCCCACGTGCCTTTTAGCGTGCGGTGTGAGAGGAGGGATTCCAAGGTGGAGGTCATCGAGCTACAGGACGTGGAGTGTGAGGAGAGGCCCCGGGGCAGCAGCTCCAGCTGAGGTGTGTGAGGCCAAGGGACACAGGGGCACAGCAAGAAAGCTCCTTGAGGCTTGAGGAGCTTGGAGCCCCTGGGCATTGGTGTGTTCCAGACTGAATGCCAGCGACCTGTCTCATTCGCAAGGCAACGCTGCCATGTCCAAGCTCTGTCATCTTTGGAGAACTAGTCTTGTCCCCAATTGGGTCTCTCCCCTCACTGTTAACTTGTTGAGGGTTAGCGCCACTTAACAAAGGTGCTAACAATAGCACCTTTCATCTATTTTTCAATCCTTATTAAAGTGCCATACAGGTATGTATGATACACACATAGCTCATTGAATGGTTACAGAGTGAACACATCCGTGTCCCCAGATCACAGATCAAGGAAGAGATCGTAACCAGCCCCTGGAAACCCCTCCTGTCCTCACCCAGGCCCCCACCATCTGGATTTCTCATACCATAGATCGCCTTTGCCTGTTTGTATGCTTTATAAATATGGACTCCTATACCTGTTACTTGGTTTGACTTTTTTTTTTTTTTTTTCCTTTTAAAGGGTGAGTAAAATCTGAAGCAAAGAGGCCAAAGATTGGAATCCCCACCCCCACCTTCCCTCCAGACTGCTTGAAGAGAACTGCTTGGAGTTAGAAAGATACTGCACCAGGGTGGCAGTTCGTTGTTACTGTAACCGATTGTATTATTTTGTGAAATATTTCTATAAATATTTAAGAGGTGTACACATATGTAATATACAAAGGAACAGATGTAAAGAAGTGTGATCTGGGGCTTCTCCACTTCTGCCCCAGAGTGGGCAGTGGGGAGGCCCCAGCAAGGCCCCTCCCTATTTGTACATTGGTCTCTGTGCCACAACCAAGCTTAACTTAGTCTTAAATTTCAGCATGTGTTGCTGCTGCTTAAATATTGTATGATTTACCTGTATAATTCTATGCAAATATTGCTTATATAATAGGATTATTTTGTAAAGGTTTTTGTTTAAAATATTTTAAATTTGCATATCACAACCCTGTGGTAGTATGAAATGTTACTGTTAACTTTCAAACACGCTATGCGTGATAATTTTGTTGTTGTTTAATGAGCAGATATGAAGAAAGCACGTTAACCCCGGTGGCTTCTCTAGGTGTAGTTGAATGCGATTCTTCTGTTTGGCTGTGTGTGTGAACGTGTGTGATTCCCCAATGTACTGTACTGTGATTTTTTTTTCTTTTTTTGTTTCTTTAACTGTCTGTCTAACCCTTAGTGGGCTCTGCCCTGGTCAGGCTGGAAGAGTCAGGATACCTTTCTTGCCTAGTGCCAGTAGAGGGCTAGCGCCACCCTAAACATCGCCTTATCCTTTTGCCAGACTCACTTCAGCTCGTGCCTCAGAGGAGATAACTTCCTTCAGATGGATCTTTGGTGGTCGTTGGAACCTCAGGGTACAGAGATCTTCCTTGTCGTTCAAGAATTAGAGAACACACCTCATGGTGAGCCTTGGCTGGGCCATGAATGTGTTATGCAGCCTTCATTATACCTCTCGTGACCAACACACACACACATGCATACCCTCCTCCCACCAAAAAAAAAAAATTTAAGAGTAGATTGAAAATGTTTTATGGAGACAATGACCCTGCTACAGGTATAAAAACCTGTTCATTCTGGACCCATAATAAACCCAGAGGTGATGTTTCGAGTCTCTACAATTTAAACTCTCTTTCTTCCTAAACTGCACAGTGGGTTGGGGCTTTCTGGATCTGTTTGCGTCTTTAAATAGTGAGCATCCAATATGGTGATGCGGAATTAGAAGTTCTGTAGGATGTGAACTTCAGAAGGATCCTTCTCAGTGTTTGCATTAACATGATGGGTGCATACTTCCTAAGTAAATCCTCTCCTTCCTCTCACTATCATTAGTGTTCTTTCTATGTGGCATTTATTGACGAGCAGGGAGATGCTTATTGTACACACCCCACTGAAGAATGGATATGGAGGCAAGTCTCTCAACCAGGCATTACTTTAAAGATTTGCTTCTGTATCAATTCTATCTCTGAGGCTTGGTCTTCCTCAGCTCTTAGCCTGAGAGACAAGCAAATGTCGGGGAAGCACTTGACACCCAGACTTAAGCTACTATAGGAGGGCACAAATGGCAGCTCCCATCATGCCCTCCCATTTTACATGGAAAATTGTAATCGAAAGGCAACGGGCCCCCAGGTAGTACCCAGCAGTGCAGTGACCTCAGATCCTAAACTCATCACAAAACTGTAAGATACTAATTAGAAGCCACCTGTGGCCACCAGGTATGTGTGTTAATATGCTAGGGGCCCTGACGGCTCCACCGCTACTGTTTGGTGCCTCTGTTAGCCACACTGTCTGTCTACCTAACACCCAGCTCTGCTCAGAAAACTTACGTCCTGCGTTCAGGAGAGAGACAATGCAAAATTCTGAGGCCTGCTTCCCTGTGCCTCGTGGCATGCCCTCACTCCTTTCCTGAGCCCAACTCGTGTGGCGCATGACAGCTTGCCCAGCCACTGCTTTCTGCACAGCATAGAATTTTCTCTCCGATAGTCACATTGGCAAAGGGAGAACGCGGGGGCTGGCAGGCAACTAGAATTTCTCTCTCCTTAAATAGTTTTATTTTGTCTGTCTTGTTTGTTCATTTGGATGTTTTAATTTTTTAAAAGAAATCTTTGCTGATATTTATAATTTTGTATCATAAGAATGTTTTCCTACAGTATTTGTCATGCCAGTTTATAACAAAAAGAATGCAGGGATTTTTATTTCTATTGGAAACACTATTACAACTATGTTTTACTTTTGAACAGAATTTTTATTTGTATAGAGTGCTTACTAATGTTAAATAGTTCAGAGTATATAACATTTTCATTAAGGATTCATGGTAGGTTTTAGTGTAAGGAGTTTAAAGGAAATAAATATTCAAACTGGGTCTCATTGTCTGCCAGTTTTGGTGGAAATGGGTTTGTGTCATTTCAATTACAAAGATAAAAGTATGCCATATAATTTATTTATATGAAAATTTATTTTTGTAGTGTACATAGTAGTCATCAAGTCTTTTGACAGAAGTATATTTTTAAAGAATTTATATGTGATGAATCCATAATGTCTGGAACTTTGCTGAGACATGAGTGGGGCACACTTTTCATTGTAAAGTACAACAAGGAAAAGAAAAAGTTTTAACAGTGTTAAGAGAGTGAGATCAAGTGAATAATCATGCAATTGTGAAGTGTGTATTAGTTACCATTTGTGAACTAGTGTGGTTCTCATTTTAAACTTTGGAAGGCAAAAATGTACAAACTCTCTAAATATTAATGTTCAAACACTGATAGAAGTTCTAACATGAATAAAAAATAATATAACTTGTTGGTTATGTCTTTGTTTATAGAATGTTTTTTAATTAAAATATTTTACAAAGGCAGTTAGTATGGCAGGCCATCATAAGCTTTGGTTTTTTTTGTCTTGCCAACCTTGTTAGATGCTTGAGTTTTTTTGTTTTACTTCACGAAGGCATTGTTGACGTAAAGAGTTCGTTTCTATTTGCTGACACCAAGCAAGTTCTAAATTACCAATCAAAAGGATCCCTTCTGTCATCTCTTAACGTCTTTATTTTTTTATGCAATGCCTAACAATTAGAGGGAACATTTATAAAGACAAATTCAATGATTATTAAAATAAAGGTGTTTAGTACAGCTGATAATATGGGGCTGATTGAACCTGATACAGAAATGTTATTTTCTGAGTTTATGATATGATTATACCTTATCTTCAGTATAGTTACAGAGGAGAATCAGGCCAGAATATCATCCCTATTTGACAGCTGGAAGCAAGGAGCGCTGGGGAAGAACTGGAGACCCAAATTGCTATAAGCTTTTGGTAAGATGTCAACAAACTGCAGCCCACGGGCCTCCTATTTTTGTAGGAAGATATAGATTATCTATGGCCACTTTTGAGTTACAATGGCAGAGTTGAGTAGCTGCAACAAGACTGCATGGCCTATAAAGCCTAATATTTACAAAGTGGCCTTGAAGACTTTGCCTACCCATCTTATGACAAGATTATCATATGCCAGTGATGCTCAAGTATCATGAGATCCACGGATGGGCAGCATTTGACCTGCCTTGGAAGCTTGCTAGGAAAGCAAAATCTTCAGGGCCCCAGACCTATTGAATCAGAATTCCAGGAATCTGTGCTTTAACGGGCTGTCCTGGTGGTTCTGATGCACCAGCAGAGGCAATCCCTAAATTCCTTCCAGCTGAATGTGGCCATGGTTCTATAATTTGACTCAGGCTACACGGCCAGATCTGGAAACAACATAGCAATCCTGACTCCTCTGTGTGGTCTTTCCACAAAAACACATGTTCATCTGTGGTAAAGAGTGGAGACCCGTGAACTCCACATTTGTGTTTTAGGAGTCTGGAGCTAGGAATTCCCTTTTTAGTGCTCTGCCACCACTGTAGGGCAGGATCTCTGTGGAGGGCGCTGGCTCCGGACCTAACAGATTGGAGGGAGGCCCATGCTGGACCAGACGGGCTTCCGCCCTCCCCGCCGAGGGTTACAGTTGAACGACTCTGACTTAGGCAAGTCACTTGATACTTCGGAGCCTGTGTCCTCATCTGTATATAAATTAAAGATGATGCGTGTCCCTCACTGACTTCTGGAGGTTGAAAGCAATGACGATTGTGATGAAATCTGGACCAGAGGGAACATTAAGAGTCAAAATAGAATTAGAACAACTTCTGTGGACCCCACACTGAGTTCTGGTTCAACTCTCAGCCTCTTGGAGTTTCCTCCCTTTAAGGTGACAGGGACCCTCATACAGAAACATGAGTTGCTGTGGGGAGGTTTTGTGCTTACTGACTCCCTTTTCTCGAGATAGACAGTAAACTCTGACCAAGGAGTAGGATGTTCAGGTAATACAATGTCCTTAATGGTTACTTTACCTGGAAAAAATAATCATAAAATAATATGCAGATTTTCTGTCTTACAACCTCATCTTCCTACCTCCTCCTAGTATAATCAGCAATCTGTTCCTAAGCCATCAATAGTGAATTTCATATATAATGCTCACTTGGTCCATTCAAAAGTCATGGAGGAATATGTACACCATGAAACAGCATGGAAAATATTGCATTAATTGGAATTCGAATTGAGAAATCTTTCTTTTAGACTTGCTTTATTCCCCCAAAATGACCATTCATTGCCATCTAATCTTATATTCTTTATAAATTACATATACCTAAGTAAGCTAATTTAGTTTTCGTGTTGGCCTAGGGAGACGTTTTCAATCAGATTTGTGTCCCGAAATCCACCATATTTATTCAGGACTTAGGTAAACACAAGGCCCCATTTTTTTTGGCACACCGGACATATTTAACAGCTTCGGGAATGCTGCATGCTGCTAAATTTCGGGCAGCAGCCACGTTGACGTAAAAGCAGGTGTTTCATTTTTGGTAACTGGCAACTGACCTCTCAAAAGGAAAAGTGGAGATGACCTATTAATCATCCAAAAAGAATATTTGCCAAGTTTTAATTACTTTTAATGAAGGCTGAACCTAATAAGAACATACCTCAAACATGAATCTGTTTAATCGTTCACATTGAGATAGAGGGCAGGTTGGACAACATTTTCTACGTAGGTTCCCTGCAGGGAAATTACAACTGTCAGCATAAGGATTTTGAAGAGATACTCTGGAACGTGATGGACCTCAGGAAAACAGGGAACCAGGGTTCTCTGTTACAAAAAGAAGAGAGCAATAGACATGACCCAAATTAAACTTGGCATGACCAAAACATGTATGTTAGATATGGCAGGGTGTTTTCACACCTCATCAGGGATTCCCTTTTTGGGGCGAAGGGGACGGGGCCTATCAGCCGAGATGCTGTGAAGGGAATCCACCTTGTAGAGAAAATTTGCCCTGAGAATGAGACACACACCTGAGAGCAATACCACCCAGAAGAGGCAACCACAGCCATACTTTTCTCAAAGTTAATCGACACCTTTACCTTCCTTTTTCTCTGGAGTGTTCTCTTCATTCATCTGTTCCTTGTCCACAGGGCTTGAGGCTGAGTTTATAGGAACGTGAGATGTAAACTACCAGCAAGGCACAAATTAAGACGGTTAAGAGTTCACACTAATGCAAGCCCAGGAAGTCCCTGTCAACAGCACTGTCTTTGCACACAATGCATAAGAGCCTGAGTTCTTGTGGAGAGGGGTGGGGTAAGGTGGATAAGAATCTGTTTTATTTTTATAAAGAAAAAAATGTAGATGGAAGAGAAATTGATGAGCAAGTTCTGACTGGTGAGTTATTATATAATAATGAGGATTGCAGCATTAAGCCCAAGTCAAAATGCCAAAAGAAAAATCGTGGTAATTACAAAGTTCAATCAGCAACAGCGGTAGGTAGATTCCTACTGAGAGCCTCTTTTACAGCAAAAAGAGAAGCAAGATGAGGCAAGAATGGAGAAAAGCAGAAGGCTTTTTGCTCTGGATGGAGAGAGAGAACAGCTCTCCATCCGAGGGGATATGGTCAGATGTCCAGAAAGTGAGGCCAACACTGAAAAGACCAAAGTGCCACTGAAACTAGGAAAAGACCATTAAAATGAATAAGAGGTATGAAGAAGGGCAACAATGGAATAGAGTGCCAAGACCTTCTCCTTCAAAACATCTAAAGGCTGCAAGAACAGTTGCCAGCCCATCATACTTCATTAGTGTGACTGCTGAAGTGTCAATAAACACACTTGGGCCTCTATCAAGGGATGCTTTCTTCTTTTCCTACACAGCTCCCATCTCACATAGAATCATGCATGGAAGGTTATCAAGAATCATGGGAGTATGTCATGAATAATGGAAGGCTAAAGCTGTATGAGACATTTGCCATCTTGCACCCAACAAATCTAGAGAAGCGATATGACATGCCTAACATTAGCCAACAACTTCAGTAGTCAAGTCAGTTTAGAACCTGGATCTAGTTCAATCTGATGTTCTTATTCTCTCTTATTGCCCTCATCCCCACCCCTCAATTTGTTTTACATGTTAATTTCAAGGATATGGGTGACTGCTGTCTACACAACTACTATAGCAAAAGAACTTCTGGGACTCTCAGCCACCATGTGTACATGCATAATCATGCGCACACAGACTATATGTCTGCACTAAAGGCAAGCAGCTGCAATGGGGGAAGCAATTAGCAAATCTCTGAATTATCCTTCTGATTACACTTAAATTCCAAAAGCTAATTGGCTAAAATGTTCCTCCTTAATTAGAAGCAATTAATATGTGAAACTAGGTATGCATTTCACAAGAGAGTTTGCATTTCATGATTGAAATCTCAGTTCATTTACTAATGGTCTCTAATGGCTTGTAATCATAAGGCACACACAATTAAGATGGGATTTTCAAAGTGTGAGAGAGGATGGATGCCTGAATTTATGAATTATTCTTTCATTGCCGAGGACATAGCCTGCAAAACACACATCATGTACACACGTGTCTGCCCATACACACCCACATATGCAAGAAGTCCTGACCTGTGAACTTTGACCCTTTCCAAACTTTCTCCTCTCTACTCTCATTCTCTCGAAGCTTGTCCTCTTTGAGTGGGCTCTCGCAGCGCCAAGGCTAGTAGAAGTCTATCCAAAATACAGACGGTGGAGCGCTAACCTGAGTAGCAATAATACTGGTAATAAAAAACACCGTTTCTTGTGTGATATGTGTCAGGCCATAGGTTATCTCATTAAACAAACCCAATAAACATGATATCAACAAAGATTTAAAATGAGGAAGAAAGAATGCTAAAATGCAGGAGGAGATAAAAAAGAGAAAGAGATGAGGGCAGATCAGTGAAGAGAAGAATGAAACAGCAGAGAAATTTGGAATGATGGAGGTGGATTAACAAAGAGAAGGAAAAGGCAAAGCCTAAGTGAGAAGATGGCACTAGCAGAGTGGAAGCCATGATAGGAATTCTTCACTGCACACCAAAGTAATTTTGTGAGAATGGTAGTGTTCTAAAACCAAAGTAGGAAGATAAGAGTATAAAGAAACAGTGCCTTGCTTTCTCACTGTCAGGACATCCTGGTGGCTGCTCTGGGTTGGGGGGCCAGATCACACCTGAGGTAGGAAGATGGCGGGCACAAAAAAGATTAAAAAGTCACTAGAGTCAGTCAACTCTGGACTCTTAGTCATTATGAAAAGTGGAAAGTACATGCTGGGGTACAAGCAGGCTCTGAAAATAATAAGACAAGGCAAAGGGAAACTGGTTATCCTTGCCAACAACTGAGGAAATCAGAAACCCAGCACTATACCATGTTGGCAAAAACGTGTCCATCACCACAGTGGCAACAACACTGAACTGGGCACAATGTGCAAAAAAT